AAACCTGAAAAGGCGGCTTGAATATAAAAATTGTGCAGCTGAGGCGATCACACAAATACCTTGATAAGACATCGCACAATCCGAGCGTGACCATGAAAGCTGGGAACCGGATAACACTTCCAATGGAGGAGCATGCAAGTTACCCCATCAAACCTTTGAGCATTAAATAAACAAAAATGCAAACACAATAACCTGAGACTTTTTTATACTTTCTTAACCATTTCCCAAAAATAGCTTTGATCTTGGCACTTGTCAAATAGCTATAATTTATTGAAGGATTAACAATGTAATTAATTGTTTGATATCCAATGAACTCTAGTTTTATGATTCGTCTCAATTGTAAAACTGTAAAAGGGGCAATATTTTTAAAACTTTTGATTAAACATCTTTCGAAACTCTTTTAATTGATATTTTCATAACTTTGAAAATAAAAGAGAAAGAAAAACATTTTTCCAAACAAGACAATCTCTCTAGAGTGGATCTTGGTAAATGACAAGTGACTCTCAAACACTAATCTCATGCTTATAATCAATGTTGAAGCAAGAAATGAGGAATAATTGGGGCACCTTTGAAGATTCAAAATCAAATGTTAGGACATTTTTAGAAATTCAACATCGAATATTGGGGCATCTTCGGGGATTCAAAATCCTGATGCGGACAATTAAATCTTCCGAAGGCCTTTCCTCCACATGCAGGAACCAACAGACAAAAAATGAGATTATGTCCGATGAATAACATAATAACTAATTCATTATGCATACATTTTAGAGCATCATATTTATCATTTTTTTCACATACATAATTTTTGTAGCTTTAGAGTCAAGTTTCAACTTCAAGGCAAAAGATACTTGATTCAAAAGAGTTTGTAAAAAAACGATGGTGGTTGCTTAACTCATCAGCGAGGAGCTACACCTCAACTAATTTGACATATTGAAAGATCGACAGATCTTATAATCAACTTCAGACGAGTTCGAGAGCTAATTCAGAACAGATCCAGTTCATGTTTTCAAGTCAGATTTCAACTCCACGATGGAGGATATCCGGCTGAAAAAATTTGGCTTTCCCGTATAGGGGGGTCATCTAAAGAATTATGATCGGTTTAGACTTGTGAATGGGGGCCATCCTTTATTTAGAGGAAATTTACAGCATAGCTTAAGTCGAGAAAAGCTGACTATCAACAAACAACTTTTCAGTTTCATTCAGAGTCAATTTCAACTTCACAGTGAAGGATATTGGACTCGAGACAACACAGACCCAACTTCATAGCGAAGGGGAGACTGAATGTCAACAAATAACTTTTCAATTTCATTCAGAGTCAATTTCAACTTCACAGTGAAGGATATTGGACTCGAGACAACACAAGCTCAACTTCACAGTGAAGGGACGACTGACTGTCAACAAACAACTTTTCAGTTTTATTCAATTTCAACTTCACAACGAAGGATATTGGAATCGAGACAACACAAGCTCAACTTCACAGAGAAGGGGCGACTGACTGTCAACAAACAACTTTTCAGTTTCATTCAGAGTCAATTTCAACTTCACAACGAAGGATATTGGACCCGGGACAACAAAAGCTCAACTTCACAGCGAAGGGGCGACTGACTGTTAACAAACAACTTTTTAGTTTCATTCAGAGTCAATTTCAACTTCACAGCGAAGGATTTTGAACTCGAAGCGAAAAAATTTTCTCGCGAGTAGATTTCAACTTCATGACGAATGATATCTAACTCGAAGCCAAACTTCAAAACGAAGAGGTCATCCACGGTTTCAACTTCACGGCGAAGGGAATTATGTCTACCCGCAACATACAATACTTGGATTTCAACTTCACGACGAAGGATATTCAAGTTAAGGCTCAACTTCACGACGAAAGGGCCATCCATGATTTCAACTCCATGACAAAGGATATCGTACCCACACATCCACGATTTTAACTCCACGACGGAGGATATCGTGCCATTTGAGGCTCAACTTCACGACGAAGGGACTTCCCAGTTTCAGAGCCAATTTCAACTTCACGGCGGAATATATTGAACTCGAAACAATACAACTTACTTGGATTTCAACTTCACGACGAAGGATATCCAATTCCACGCTCAACTTCACAACGAATGGGCCACCCGCGGTTTCAACTTCACGACGAAGGGAATCGTGCACACGAGCAACATCCATCTCTAGATTGGATTTCAACTTCACGACGAAGGATATCCAACTCAAAAGAATGAGTGTTTGTAAACAAACTTTCCAATTTCAGAGTCAATTTCAACTTCACAGCGAAGGATATTGGCCTCGGAACAGCGCAACTTACATTGGATTTCAACTTCACGACGAAGGACATCCAATACCCAGGCTCAACTTCACGACGAAGGGGCCCTATACGTTTCCAACTTCACAAACAGATTGACCCAACTTCACGACGAATGAGTCATCTATAACACATCAACACGAAAGTCTTCAGGTCAAGTTTCACCTTGACGATGAAGTATCTTGAGCCACAAGACAATTTAGAGGCCACTCGCCAAGAGCTTTGAGTTCGATTTCAACTTCACGACAAATGATATCGTGCTCAGAAGTTTCCAGTTCAACTCGACCTCACGACGAGGGAGTCATTTCATATTTCAGTTCAATTTGACAAACCAATCAAACATCGGATTTCAACTCTACGACAGAGGATATTCGATATGGACGAAATCTGTGTCTTTCAATCTTTGCTCTATTTTCGTTACACGACAATGAGCAAAGAGGGGCAGTTGAAGACACCAAATTTCGACCCTTTCCATTTAATTAAAATTATTATATTATATAATATAGTTGCATATTATATTTTATAATACACATATATTTACATTATGTTATTGTCTTTACAGGCTTAAACAAGTTGCCCAGAACCAACACTACACGAGCCCATCAGACCCAGAAGACACAACCTGTGTCTGTTGAAGCCCAAACACACAAGCTTCCAGAAACCCTAGCAGTTTCTCCACCAACACCGCATCCATCCCAACCATCACAACGTCGGATCCGAGTTTCACGGCAGCACGCCCCCATCTTCGAAGCATTCGACGCAAGCAAAGCCATCACCAACAAATAAAGCAGTGTTTTAGTCTATATAGGACTCAAAAAAATATAATCTAAATATAGTAAATCCTATGCTATAAATAAGTGTAAATCAACATGACAATATCACGAATATTACACATATATTACTACGAGTACCCACTAGCAAAAATATGAGAAAAACACATCGGAGATCAACGTTTGTAAACTTTTTCTAAGTCAAATAAAGGGTAAAAAAATTTCGTACCTTTCTTGTTTATCTTGCATGTGTATCTCTTTCATCGTTTTGGTTCAAATAAAACCATAAAAGAAAGGTTTTTTACCGATGAAATAGGGGGAGAGACCGAGACATTCGATCTCAGATCTACTCTCCCCCAAGGCGTTTTTGAAAAAAACAAGCTTGGTTTTCGAAATGAGGGGAAGGAAAGCTCTCGAAAAAAGAATTTTTTTTTTAATTTTCGCCGCCGATGACAGGCGGCCGGCGAGGCGACGACGGCAGTTTCTGGGTTCCCACGGTGGTCGTGTTCTTCTTGAGGAAGAATAGGTTGAAGATTTCAGAGAATTTGGTTTGGGAGAGTTTTGATCGAAAATGGGGGATATTAAAATGAAATATGTTTATGGTATTTGGTATTTATACCAACCCGTGGAGCATTTTAACCCGACCCGACCCGCACCACACAAGGATCCGCATGTTTTTAAAAATAAATAGGGAAATTCCCATTTGGTCCCTCCTTTTTATAAAACATTTAATTTTAACCCTAAATTCATCTTAATTTGACCTTTAATTTTGATTCTATTTTAATTCGACCACCCAATTCGTTGTCCTTTTCAATTTAGTCTTTCAGTTCATGTTTTAATTTTTATTTTCATTTTATTTATCTTTATTATTTCTTTTAATATATTATGTTTTATTATTATATATATATATATATATATATTATTAATTGTTATTATTTTTTCCTTCTTTTGTCTCGGTTTTCTTTTTTAATATTTTATTTTATCTATTTTCTTTTTTTTTCTTTTTTTACCATTTGTTTTCATTTCGTTTTATTTACATGTATATATATATTTATTATTTTTTTCCTTTATTTATTTAATTTATTTTAATATTTAAATGTATATTATTTTTGTTTTTTGTTCAACCACCCTTGACTAAAACATAAAAAGGCAAAGTAATTGAGTTGTAAATAACGTTCATGTGTTGACATTGCTCTCATCTTGTCTTTCTTTATTAGATTTTTTAGTATTTTTTCTAAATTTTTTACGCTTTACTATGTTTTTTTGATTTCTTGTTATTATTATTTTATTATTATTTAATAGTACATTTTATTATATATATATATATATATATATATATATATTTACTATTGTTTTCTTTTTTATTATTTCTTTTTACTTATTTTTTTCTTTATTTTTATCCTTAATTTTGTTTTTATTTATGTTATTTTCCTTTTATTTTAGTTATTTTACTTACTTTATCTTTTGTTATTATTTTTTTATTTTTTTATTTATTTCATTTTCCTTTTATTTTAAGTTATTTTCATTATCTTTTTTGACATGTTTCTCAACTTTTTAAGAGTTTTTTAAAAATTTATTAAAGGTAAGTAATTCGGATCGTTATTTTACTTTTTAATTTAAACTTTTAATTTTTCTTAATTTAAGACAACTGGAAATTACGTAGTACCGAAAGGGCAGTTCAAGGGTGCTAACCCTTCCTTGATTGTAACCGACTTCGACACATCTTTGGTAAGACGCATATTAGGTAAGAAATAAGGTATCCGATCAACCCATTTTCTTTAAAATAAATGATCGGTGACGACTCCAAATCATTTTCCTAAGTCGAAACCCAATTCCGAGACCTACCCGAAAGACGTTTATCACATAGTTGTATCAGAAGATTGGACCATGTAGTATTGATTGCTATTCGATGATGCTACATCAACAGACTGTCCAAGGGTTGGAGGTATGTTTTGAATCTGAAGGGATTAGAAATAAATCATATGGATGATAGAGCAACTACGGCATAGCTAGATGGAAATGAAAGCAATTTTACCGTGTAAAGAGAAACCGATGGAAACGAAACACCGACAAAATATCCAAAAACGGCTCCAATAGTTGTTGTGATGATGAACCTGGCACTGCAATTTTCCTACAAAATCCACTGAAAAGAATCCAAATAATTTAACAATGGAGGCCAATGCTGCAATGTTCAAAACAACTTGTTACACCAACACTATCGAGTATCGAAAAATGACATATCCCGACCTGCGGTTCATGCTGCCCATATCAGTATGCTCTCCTGCACTCCTTACGAGCATTCCTTGAGAATACCAAAGCAATGCAACTTTTCTTCGACCGGGCTCGATCTCGGATTAGCACAAGCCTCTGAGCTTCAATAAGCATCACAACAAGTGTCAAATTAAATTAGAAGCAATACGAATGAATAAGACATGCAAGCAAGCCACCATATAAGTTATTGCTTTAACTCAGCCAATGATTAAAAATGTTCTGACCATTGTTTTCTCTTAAAGTTAGAATGCAATTTACTGCAAAAATTTCAACACAAAATTTTATTTCAAGATTATTTAATTTAAATATTAGAAAAAAAACGCTACAAATTCTGATTCATTGTAACTTTTCTAAAAGGTTTAAAATAATAATGAATAAATAAAAACCCGCCAATTACACAGTGAAAGAAATAGCCATCACATTCAATTTCTTCACCTCCATATAAAGTATATATATATATATATATGCTTTTCCTGATCAGATTGAGAAACTAAAATTATGAATTTAAGGGTCAACCTTTATTTCTGGAGAATTTCAAAATTCAAGATCAAAGCCCGGAAGAATAAAATATCTAAACAAAAGTAGCAGAAAAAAAAACTAAATTTCTGAAATTGTTCCATGAAGTAGATTGTTTTTTATAAAATAAAAAATCAATCAACCAATAAAATGCTAGGGTTAGAAAATTACCTGCTTTTTTTGGTGATGATAAATTGATCACATAAAGGAGAAAACATGCAAAATGAGAATTTTAGTTGTTTGAGGGGATTAAGTATCAAATTAATTAATTAATTAATTATACTTCAAATTGAATTAAATGGAAAATGTAACAACTTTTAGTAATTTTATTGTATATAGATTGAGTTGCCTAATTTAAATTTCTCATATAATTCCTTTTAGGTCCGTTTGTTTCATGGAAAACAGATTTTGAAAAATGAATTCCGTAAAATAAAATAAATTTTCTTGAAATCATTTTACAATGTTTGGATGGTGTCGTGTAATTCATTTTCTATTGGTTAGTAAATTTTTTTAAAAATTATTTATTATAAATGACTTAATAATTTTTAAAACAATTTAATTTAAAAGTAATTATGACTTTATTTTGAAATTTTGATTTAATTTGAATTAATTTGGAGTCTCATCGAACTTTGAATTAGGTAGGTCAATACCTAATAATATATTTTAAAACAATTTTAAGAAAAATTATTTAAATGACAAAATTGATCTGCATATAACTAGAAATTCATTTTTTAAGGGTTCGAGAGTCAATTATGCATGGGGAAGGATGAGCACCCCCACAACTCCCATAATTCACACCCTCGATTATATGTTGTCTAAGTATTGGAATTATACAAATTTGAATTCAAATTTTAAATTGCGATCCTTTTATGTGAATTAATTTTGAAGAATGAGTGATTTTTTTAAATATTGGACTTGATAAAGATGGTTTAATTCACTCGATTTTTTAAAAAGGAAGTTCCCTTACTACATGCATTAACGGAAATTGAAATTTAGTTATGTTGGACGCAATTCCATTAACCTACGACGCTAGACAACATTGCCTTTGGTATTTTTTTTTAAAAAACGAGAAAACGAATGCATGACGTATGAATGCAGTAGTAATAAATGACATATAAAGGATGACTGAAATATCAACATATTATGACAATTAAATAAATAAAATAACAAAATACAAAAATAAATAAAACATAATGGATATTTATTTATTAAAGTAATTTCATAAAAAATAAAATGTCAAAAATTATACTTTATTTGAAGTGAATAAAATACATCTAATTGATTTAATATAACATAAATATAAATAAGGAACAAATATTAATATTAATATTATTTTATTCGAATAATTCTTGGAATGGCACCTCAGGTATTTGGAGGTCTTCCATAGATTAATTGAATAATTTACCAAATATCTTATATATATTTATAATATTAACAATAACAAGTTTTTATTTAATACCTAATATAATATTTAAAAATATCCCTTTTTATTAATATATAAATGCATACATAAATTTTCTCGATATATATATATATATATATACCTCGCAAATTTAAGTATATGTTTATAAAATAAAAAAAATGCTTAAAATAATAACAATATATGTACATTAATGTATTCCATATATGTAAAAAATAAATGCATATATAATAATATAGGGACCAAACCAAAAAAAACTGCAAGGATCTATCAACACATTCCACATTAACATTTCATTAAGTAATTTAACATAAATGATGACTAAAATGAATATAGAACAAAATATCAGCACTCAAATGTAGTAATCATGCATATTCCCATATTTAGTAAACGGATGACTAAAATACAATAATTTATAAATCAATGGCCACGGTCGCAATTTTACCCAAATCATAACAATTACACATGATGACTAAAATGTAAAGAAGTGAAGTTTAAAGCTCAAAACGTAAATATAAAAGCTTCTATTTAGCGACTGAAATAAATTTTTACAAAACCAAGATGATCCCTTGCGCAATTGTAGTATGCACTAATTTTTGACAAACCCTTACCCAAAATGACATCATTTTAGAAGGGATTTAAATACCCATTTTATAACATTTTTAGAATCTTAACCCCCATTTTGTTTTCTCAGTCGAAATTAAAAGAGAGAGAGAGAAGAAATTCTCTCAACTTCCCATCACTGGGGAAGATGGCCACCACTCACCGACGGTGGTTCACGATGGTCGGAGGGAACGAAAATTTTTCAAATTTTTTCCTTTCATTCTCTCTACACAAATCCGAGGTCCCTTTTTGCTTTCTGGTGGACTTTTAGCAAGGTCAAATCTTTTCTTTCTCTTGTTTCTATTTTGGTTCCTGGATTTGGCTCAAATCTATCATATTTCTTTTTTTTTCGAAAGCCTTTTTTTAAAACGTTTGAATCTTCCTTCATTTTTGTTCGAATCATGGTCCCTTTTTATGGTTGTTGCATGTTGTATTTTATAGATTTAATTCGGTAGCCTTTTGTGATATTACGGCTGAGAGTAACGGTTACTCTATATTTTTTTATTGACTCCTCTTCTTTCCACTGTTTGTCAAGATGATGACGATAGGATGGATGAAACGGCAACATCGACGAGTGTCAGAAGCCAGTGACAGAGGTAGCGGAGGTAGAATAGGGGCTAGGGTTTTGGTTGGGCTTTGTAATTAATTAAGCCTATAAATATATATAATAAAATAATAAAATAAATAAATAAATAACTATAAAAAGACAACCTGGACAAAAACGGGTGTCTACAGCTGCCTCTCTTTGTCAATCCTTATGTTAACAAGAATATGACAAAGATAAATAGACAACGAATTTTTTTTCCGATTCTACTTTTTAAATTGAATTTTGATATTGTCTCAAGAGAGACTAAAGATTACATTTATCTCAACAGAGATATTTTCATTTCAAAATTCTGCTTCAAGAGAAACATTCTCAAAAAGAGTAGAACTTTCAAGAGAAACAAATTTCAAACAATACATAACTTGTTTCAAGAGAAATGATGTTGATGCTTTGAGTTTCAAAAAAAACTTTCTCGAGTGATACAAAATTAGTTTCAAAAGAAAATTATCTCACGTGAGATACAATTTTTGCTTTTGAGATAAAATTACCTCGAGTGAGACAAAATTTGTTATGTGTTTCAAGGGAAACTGTGACAATAAGCAAGATGAAATTTTACTTCTAGAAAAACAATCTCAAAGTTTATGAGTGATTTGTTCCTTCGCATTGAGGAATTCAAATCATTGTTTGGTGACTTGACGCTTTATTTGAGGATGTCGGGTTTGTTAACAACGTTGTCCCTTAGTGTTGAGGACGGCTAGTTGCATTTGAATGACTATGCATCTGTAGACAACATTGTTCCTTTGCGTTGGGTGATTTGCTCGATGTCAAATCTGATGATGACATTGCTCCTTCATATTGAGGAGATCTAGTCAATGGACGACATTGTTCATTCGGTTGAGGACGTCTAGTTGTATTTGAAGGACTTCATATGAATACAACATCGTTCTTTCGCATTGAGGAAATCTGATTGTTTGAAAATAACATAGTTTTGTAAGCGACACTGCTCCATGAAGAGATCTGGTCTCTTTGGGTGACTTGCTCACATCCACTAATTTTCGTAGGAAAATTTGTTTCTTTGAAGTTTGGACCACCCTAAGATGGATGATTGCCACTCACCTAACAAAAGAAAATTTATTTAATGTTTATTTTGAAGAATGTTCAAACTTTAATAAGATGGTGAAGACATTCGTTATTTGCTATTATTAATTAATACTATTAATGTTATTATTTATTACTTATTAACTACTATTATTATTAAATATTAAAATATAAAATAAAATAAAACGTTAACCTTTTGTTAATGATCATTGTAGCCCAAATTAAATACAATCATGCCAATATGGGAACCCAACAGCAACAATCCAAGTAAATTAGGGTTATATCATTAACCCTCCACCCACAAAGCCACAATCATTGGATCAGATCTGATCTAACGATCCAGATCAATTGTATCCTTAGGGTTTCATCATTAACTCTAAGGTAGACGCCGTCGTCGCTCACACAAAAGCCACTCGTCGTCGTGGTCTTCACCTCCATGGTCATCAGCAGCTACTTGAAAGTCAACCTCCTCGGAACATCACTGTTTTCAATCTAATTTCACCCGTACTCATTTTGGTTACCTTTATATTATTTTAAATATTTTCTCTTTATTTTCACTTCGAACTGATATTTTATAACTTTTATGATTTAATCCTTTTTCTTTATATATATATATCTCATCATGGTCCTTGCTTTTTTATCCTTTTAATTTAGTCATTAGATACATATGTTTATTTCTGATTTAGCCTTGTACTTTTAGATGTTTGCATTGTGACTATTGAGTTATTATTATGCTCATTTTATTCTTAAATATCTACTTAGTGTTAGTTCCCTTTTAATGCTTAGATTATGGTCCTTAATTTGTTAGACCCTTAATTTAGTCACTAATTAAACTCTAATTTAGGTAATTTTAGTTTTTGTCCCTTTAACCAAATCATAAAATTTACGAATCCCTTTAGTTTAGTTACCATGTAGATTTTAGTTTGAAATGCTTTACTTTAGGATCCTTTAATCTTGCCCTATTTATGAAAGGTGAGTAACTTAGTTTAAGTCAATAGTTAAAATGTGTTTTTTTTATATAATACACGTTTATACGTTTCTTATTACCAAATAATATGTGCATGTTTCTTTTACTTAGATATTTTATGTTATGTAAGCCTAATTTCCGTAGCCTTTAAAATCTATATGTATATGTTTTTATTATGTTAATTTGTAACTTTATCTTTTTATATATTTGTAAACATTTTTATATATTTATTTTCATTCGGTATCCTTTTAAATAATATACTTGTAAACGTTGTTATATATTTATTAACAATGCCAAAGAGTGTTGGCACAAGTGGTTGGGATTTAAGAATTTGACCTTGTAATGCTAAGTATGAATCCTATCACCGTCATTCTTGGTGGACAATCTGTAAATTCTTATGTAAATCTTAATTGGGTCTTAGGTATGCCCTGACCTTGAATTAATGGGGGAGTCACCCCTTACCTAAACTTTTGTGTACCAATATATATATATATATATATATATATAAATATTAAATTATTATTCCTCATTTTATATTATTAAATGCAGAATAAACATAAATCATAGGGAAATTTCTCTTGTCTTAGACGTTAGACAAGTCAAATTTTATTCACGTGCTTCATTAAATATTCAATGTTATTTAATTTTTCTAATAAATATTCGAGGAGGATGTGGTTGTCTTAGACGTTAGACAAACCGAAGTCTTTCAAATTTTTCTTGTTTAAGATATTAAATAGATATTAATATTTATTTTTCCATCTTTTAAAGAAATAAAATCTTGATTATTCGAGGAGAATTTTTCTTGCTTTAGATGTTGAGCAAATTAAATTCTTTCAAATCAGTCATAATTTGAATTTCATTATTGATATATTTTTACCTACTCAATCATAATTATCTAGGGTTCAGAGACTTAGTTAATGAACTTAGTGCTCAACCTTAAAATTAGCAAACATTAAAATTTGGAACTTTAGAATAATTAGTGAATTTTTTTATTTGCTTAAGTATCTATTTATGCTTAAAAAATTATAATACATGTTAGTATTTTAATTGCATCATTTAAAACAAGATATATCTTTAGTTAAGCAGGCCTTTGATATCTTTCTAGAAGCTAGAGGATTTCAAGGTTACTTAATAAAGGATTTTATCTTTGTTTTTTTATTTATATTATAAGTATGAGCTCTTCAGACTTTGAGAATTATTTTTAAATTCCCTTAGGGGGCGTTTGGATGGGGGAATGTGGGATTCCCCCGGGAATGGAATCCACATTCCCCCGTTTGGTTTGGCCGGTAATGTCATTCCCGGTAATGTTTTATTACCAATAGTGGATTTTTTGGGGTATATTACCGGGAATGTCATTACCTCCCTTCCCTTAGGTATTGTAACATTACCGGCGTTTTGGACTAAAATGCCCTTAAATTTTTATTTTTTTTCAAAATATCATTATTCTGTCATTGAATAATAAAAATTCTACGAAGGTTAAATTACAAATTTATCCTTAAATTATTTTAGATTTACAAAAAAAAGTCTATAATTAAAATTTTTTATGAAGTTCAGGGGTTAAAATAAAATTTTACCCTTTCATTAAACTTTTTTTTTTATATTTTAAATTTTGTAAAAAAATTATATAAATATTATGAATTTAATTTTTTGAAGAAAATATATAAATATTTTACAACTTGTAATATTATACAAATATATAATAAGGACAATTTGGTCAAATATACATTCCAATAATCTTTTATTCCTTTAACCAAACACAGTAATCTTACATTCTTGCTAAACCAACCAAACACAAAATACAACATTCCCAGTAATCCTATTCCCTGGTAATCTTTTATTCCCACTGGTAATCTTACATTCCGTGAACCAAACGCACCCTTAGATGTTAGAGAATTTTGAGAGTATTTGAAAGAGTTGTTGATTTTAGTCTTTTAGCGTTATTCATAAAAAAAATCGATGCTCTTTCTTGAGTAAGGCAATGTTCTTGATATTCTATTAAACGTTGGGGAATACTCAAAATTTGCCCATGAAAGAGTACACTTTTTCAAAATTTTAATGTAAATTAATACGTGAAATTTTAGAATATTTGAGTTTGATTTTGATTTTCTTAGCCGATAGAGAATTCAATATTATCCTTAAATTTTTTTAAAACTCTATATTAATCTAAAAAATACATTAACAACATTCATAGTTTAAACAAAAATATTTGTGATAAAATATGCATTGTTTTTACGAGTGTTTCCCTAAACCCTATGAGAGTGTTAATCATTCCTTATACACGTAACTGCACCTCGAACTCAATTTTAGTTTTCACATATTTTAATTTTTTTTTTACCCAATCACACCTAAACCTAAATAGATTAATTGCGACTGCTAACATTTTCAAAAGTACTAAACTAAGATTTTTATTCATCAGGTAAAATTGGTGTGTACAGATGTTACTTTCATGACTACTACTAGTCCGTCGTATGATGGATTGTAACCCTGTTCTCGAACCTTAATGATGAAGATTTAATTAAAATATTATTATTTTATAATCATTTCAAATTATTTAAAAAATATCAAAATTTAGCGCTTCTTCTTTATCAAACAGTACCCTTATCCATTGATATAATTAATTCTATACTTGCAAATTGCTTCAGTATTGACTCATACATCATTAATTACTTTTTTATTTGAAGTAATTGACGGCAATCAAAGTAATTATTTATGGTACAATGCATAATTTAATTAAATATGTTAATTTGATTAGAACAGTGCACTTCTAAATTTGATTAAGTACCTTCATAATATTAAAAATGATTACACGAATTAATTACGGGAAAATACAAATTAAAATGGAATAAAATAAACATATTTTTACAGTTAAGATCAACCATCAATGATTAACGCTGGATAACATTTAACGATCAGCAGTCAACGAATCTTGAGTTGGGTAAAATGACGAGTCTCATATCGAGTTAAGTTAGTTTATAAATCTCAAATCAGATAAAGATAACCGAACGAGATATCAAAGGCCTTGGAAGTAGTGGATCTCGTTAAATACTCGATTCAATCAAGTACTTATCTATGTGTCGAAATTTTTGAAAACCCCCAGTTCAAATCCTAAATTAAGAGTGAGTAATTCAAGTTGAAAAAAATCGAATTTAAGAATGATTTCATATGACTTTAAGGGGGTGTTTGGTTCAGGTAATATGAGATTACCAGGGGAATGGAATGACATTCTCTCATTTAATTGGCCAGTAATCCTATTCTCCAGTAATATTTTATTCCCAACAGTAGTATTTTTGGAGTATATTATCGGGAATGTGGTTACTCCCTTTTAGGGATGGCAAACGGGTACAGTTTCGTGAATTCCGCACCGCATCCGCTCCAATTGGGGCGGGGATGGGTATAATTTTAGCGGGTAGTGGGCGGGTGTGGATTTAGAAAGTGGTACCCGTCGCGGGTGGTGGGCGGGTAATGGGTTTGAGACATTACCCGCCTCGCATCCGCCCGCCCCACATCCGCCCGCCCAGCTAAATATCCATTAAATTTTGGACCATTATGAATTTAGGTGTAATTTTAGAGACTAATTTATAAATTCTAATATTGTATAAGATATAACATGTAATTTATCCAACTCTCCAACAAAAAGCAAAGGATATTTTGGGCATTCCTGTCTCCACTATCCCATCAAAATCTGCATTCAGTATAGGTGGAAGAGTAATTGGTCCTTATCGTAGTCGACTACTTTCGGAGACGATTGAAGCATTAATGTATGCTCAAAATTGGGTTTGGGCCGATATTAAAGGTAATATTATTATTTAGTTTATATTAGTTGTCAAATTGTGCTTAATTATCTTATTAAAATTTAGTTACTAACTTATATTAGTTTTACTTTCTATTATATATGTAGGTAGTAGTGAATTTAAATTGGAGCGCTCTCAGTTGGAGGAAATAGAGAATGATGATTGTAATACTGGAATATTATATGTCACAAATATTGTCTGAAATTTTAGAATGTTGTGCCAAAGAACAAAAACATTATGTGTTTGTCATTTATGTTTCTAGACTTTAATTATGTCATTTATTATGGTGTTTTATGTATTTTAAGATCTATATTAACACTTAACTTAGATAATCCTTGGATTATTTTATTATGTTTCTTAATGGACATGTTTTTTTTATGTTTGTTGCTTATGTATAACTTAAGTTTGCTGTCAGGCGGGTCCAGACGGGTACGTCGCTAGTAGGTAGTGGGTGTGGGGATAGATTTGAGAATGTACCCGCGTGGGCGGGTGTGGATTTGAAAATTTGTACCCATCATGGGTGGTGGGCGGGTGGTGGATTAAAAAATATGAGGTGGGTATGGGGATGGGGGAGGGGGTATCCGCACCCGACCCGCCCGTTTGCCATCCCTACTCCCTTTCATTAGGTATTGTTGGATTACCGGCGTTTTGGACTAAAAGGCCCTTAATTTTCCCCCCAAAAATATCCTTCTTCCGTCGTTGAATAATAAAAATTCTACGAATGTTAAATTACAAATTTATCTTGAAACTATTTTAAATTTACAAAAAAAAAGTCCATAATTAGAACTTAATATGAAGTTTAGGGGTTAAAATAAAATTTTACCCTTTCATTAAACCTATTTATCTTTTCAATTTTGTAAAATAAATTATATAAATTTTAAATTTTAAAGAAAATATATAAATTAATTATAGTAATATTATAGTATAATTCAACTTGTTAAAAACAAATATATAATAAATACAATTTGGTAAAATATACATTCTAATAATCTTTTATTCCTTTAACCAAATACTGTAATCTTGCATTCCTGCTAAACGAACCAAACACAAAATATAACATTCCCAGTAATCTTATTCCCGCCGGTAATCTTATTCTCACTGATAATCTTACATTCCGTGAATCAAACGCACCGTAAGAGTGATTTGTTCTAAACAATTTAATGTTCATCATTCTTGTGTACAGCCTAATCAAGTAATAAACAAATTTACATCCATAGCTCACTACGCCTACACTCTACTTTTTGATTTGCTTACTCTTACGATTTCATTCCTCGTCTACAGAAAAATCAGGCTCAGCTGGTTTCTGCAAGGGGCTAACAACCCCAGAACCCGATTCACGATGCATATGAACACCTCTCCTAGTGCTTGCTGTTAGCTTGGCTACATACTTAGCCAATCCTGAGCCAGGTGCCTTCCGTTCGGGTTCGGGTTTGTGTTCAGAAGCCATCAGGTTCTCCTTTGCTCTAAGTTCAGCGGCTTCCTTTCGTTTCTTGAACCGACGCCACGCTGCTTGGACGAAACAGGCTGCCCAAGCTCTCCATTGGTGCGAGTAGAACCGGAGCTTGTGTCTTAGTTGCTTGCTATGGAGTCTTCTAAACTGCGCTGCAACGAATTTGAGATCTTCTGCTCGTAGAGCGAAGGCTTCGACTTCGGATATTGCTTTGACTGTTCGAGTCGACGATGGAAGGACGATGCTAGGACGAGGATCTAATGCCCATGTCAACAGCTCCTCACCGCAGAAGTCTCCAGGGCCGATCCGGCATGAGTTGAAGAATCCGGTTCGGCCACCGTTTGTAGTGTACGAATCTAGGTGGCCTCGTATTATGAAGAGCATCGCATTGACGGGATCGCCTTCTCGAGCAAGGACTGTGCCTTCTGTGAACAATGCAGGTTTGAGCCTCTCACAGATTGCATCCAGCATCCGTTCATCCATTTGATCAAACAGTGGTACCTGTTGATACATTGCACATCATAGGTAAGTAATTGTAGTCTAAATGTGATCTGAAAAGTTGGTTCCAAAGACTTACTCGTCGAACAAGGTCGAGACAAAGATGTCGTTTAATGTCCCGTCGGAGATCCAAAGGAAGGCCTTTGAGTAGAGCCTCTTCGTCGACTCCCCTCGTGGCAAGCCACTTATACTGATCATATTTTCTAACGGATTGTCTTAACTCAGGAGGAAGTTGCCTATGAGCCATCCATTGTTCTGTGTCGGTTCTCTTGATTCTCCATTCTTCCAATCTAATCGTCGTTGATTGAAGGTATGTCTGCCAGCGAAAAAAAACGATGTTGGTATCACGACATAAGAAGCCGAACCACGAAAGGATTATGTCTTAACTTACTTGCATATTCCCAATCAGCAGAGCAAAAAGAACAAGTCCAACAGTTGCAATAATGATGGCGAAAATTATTTCTCCAGCATAAGTGCTTGTGCCAAGATTTTGTCCCAAAGAACTACACATGAGAAAAGTAGACGCTGTTAGAGTTTAAGCAGAGTATCGTTGCCTTTGTTATATGAACAAATTATATGTTTTATTTGCAGAAATTTACAGTGTATTGGAGATTGCAGAATATGCATAAAAAATGTAAATATGAAAGCAAAAATGTACCTCAAGTTCCTTAAACCCCACCAAAGGCAATAAAAGTACTTGTTCAAGAATGGTGAGGTTGTAACATTGAATATCAACGCATCACCATAGATACCAAATGGATAGGAGCTGGAACTTGGACTGCACAGGTTACTAACATTGCTGAACTTGAACCAGGTCAACCTTCCAGGGTCTTTAACCATATTGCAATCGAAATATTTATCCTGACAATTCTGCTCCTCGATCTTGCAGGCGGACCTCCAGCATGCTTCTTGCCGCTCAACCGAAAGAAGGTACCAACAGGCTCCTAAAACCTTTTCAAGAAACAAGAACACTCAAATTTGGTAATTCAGGTATGTATGTATGTATGTGCATATGTATGTGCATATGTATGTATGTATGTATGTATGTATGTATGTATCATAATGACTTACATGGCCTGCCAGCATGTAGAGCATCAAGTTATATGCAGCGCCAGCCCATGCTGTTTCGGTCACAACACCAGTGGCATTGACAATTTGTGATGACAAAGGAAAAATAAGAAAAAGTTTTGGAAGGTACTGAAATAGTATTATGAAGCGCAGCATGTTTTTGGTGTTCATCATTGCTGATCCGTTGAGATTCGGAATGATGATCCAAATCAAAACCTGGACAAAGAATCCGACACATAAGAAAATGAAACATACTATGAAAAGACCAAATTTTTATATCAATTTCATCGTGTACCTGAGGAAGGGGGAGGGCAGCAACCAAATCAATCCAGAAACTCTTCTGAAGGTACCTGGAAGCAATCTTCCCGGAATCTATAACGAGCTCCCCTCTCCCAAATACACGAGAAGGCGGTGCAACGTAAGCGGTTCGAAACCGAATGAAGATATGAATTATGTAGAAGGCATCAGCTAATGATCTAACCAATGTGAGGATAACTTTAAGGGGTATTCCAATATCAATACAGATATCCTTTTGAACAAATGGCAAATAAAAGAAGAGAGGATCCACAAACAAAGAAACCAAGCATGCCACTAGGAAAATCTTGTTCCACCGGTGAATGATCGGTCCTCGAGGATCGAAAATCTTCTTCTTCACCCTCTCGAAATCTTCGGAGAAAACTCTGGACAGAACTTTAGCTTTTAACAATTTCCCTGTCCTGATAATAGTAGTAGTAGGCAACTTGTTCTCAACCCTCTTGGTGCTCGAATCGGATACTTTCTTCCCGTCGATGTTGTATGCCAGCTTGATCATACCATATCCATTGATTGTAGGGAGCTTTGGTAATTCAATATCATCTTGAAATCTGGGAAACACATAAGAAGCCACAAATCAATGATTGTTCCAGTGCTAATGAGAGTGTGTATATATATATATAATTACAAGAACAAACCTTACAGATCTTGAATTACTGAACATCATGGCTTTGCTTCAACCAGATTTGATCTATCAAATGACGAGAGAAAGGCAGAGAATTTTAAAAAGGGTAGGCCAGAAAACAAACTCTTTATAGATACAAGATCAAAAATCAACTGAAAGTGACTAGACAAGTCTCAAGAGATCAAAGCCACAAGAACTGGAAAAGGGCCTTCAATGGCTTACTGAACCGGGGAATCATGTGAACGATAGCATTAAAGATAAACTCCACTTGACATGAAGCAGTTCTAAAGATCATCCCCTCCTTTTAGGCCAAAAGAGCTGGCCAAAACATGTGAGCAATCTCTCAAATTTAAGTCTTCTTAAATGGAGTCTTTTCAGGCCACCTTATAAAAGATGCCTGATATGAGTTTGAGGCAGGAAATACATCGAACAAATGAAGAACCAGAAGCTATCTCTCTATTGTTTATTGTGTGCATATAGTTAAAAGAAAACACCCCAAAGTTTTAAGCTTTAGGGTACCCCATCATTAGAAGCCAAAAGAGAAGCAAGTAAATGGCTTAAAAGTCAACAAGATTCCAACAAAAAATATGTAAGATAAACATTGACCACAGCAATTGTTGTCTTAATATATTGATTTTAACGCAAGTGTAAGCAACCTGGAAGAGAATAAGTCAATAAAAGAAACCTAAATGGAATATGATTCTACACAAATAGAAAGGTAAAATTATAGCATTGGTATTTGCTGGTTGCCACCAAAAAGCTGGAAAGAATATGGAAATGGAAAGTTTAAACAACAGTTTCCATAGTTATATAGCAATGAAGAGAAACCCTTCTCTGTAGTTTACTTTTTTATATTTCCTAAAACTTTGAAAGAAAACGAAGCAACAAGTTGCTTTTAGTTTGATGGGTATGAAATTGTTGATGAGAAGATAAATACAGAGAGACAGCCATATGAATATGTCCAAAGATAAAGGTGAAGAGGGCTGTGTCCATGCACTTTGATTGTCATTTGTTTTTATTTATAAATTTTGTTTTATTTTCATTTAATATTAAATATCTTTAAATGATCATAAATATCTGTTTTTGTAAGATCCTAGGAGTAAACTACGGCAGATATGTTTGTTTGCTGGAGTATTGACATTTACTTTGTCCAAGAGATGTAATTTATCAGTTTACACTCGTAATAAATAGTTTAATTTGAATCATGTATTATAAAAGTTATTTATGTATTGTTTTTAATTTATTTTATTTAATTTATAATATTAAAATATTAATAATAATTAGAACCCGTTAAATGGTCATAGTAATAAATGAGAATATAGTTCTTTCTAAAGGTCTTGAGTTAAATAATTATATCTAAAAGATATATATTATCGACAGATTAAAAAAAATTATTTCAAACTGTTAAAACGATATTGATATTTATTATAAAAACATTCTTTTTATTATTGCAACCTCATTGTAAATATTTAACAACATAAAAATTTGTTAGTTTGGAATTTATTAAAAGAAATTGGAAACCCAAAATTCCATAAGACATATAAAAGTGTAATTGTAGTCACCAAATGATTTAGATTTTTTTTAATACAAAGGGAGTCAATGGAATCATTGGGGATGCCGGGCGGGACAGGTATGGATACTTCTTTCCTCATCCTCATATCCACTTAATATTTTCACATCGACCACCTATCTATCACTTACGATGAGTAAAATTTTTAAATTTATACCCGCTCACGTGAATACATTCTCAAACCTACTTCTCAAATTCATATAATTTTTTTTTAAATTTTTATAAATTTGTGTAATTTTTTTGTACAAAAGCCATGAAATGAATTCAATGAAAAACTATCACCTACTTCTCACACAAGCAACCCTACATCATCATCAAATAGAATACTTGTTTCTCACGGTGACGGGACATTTACCATGCCGAACGATTCAAATCGCGGCTCTATTAAGTCTACTGGTTCATCATCAATGACACGCGAGCTGCTAGCATTGGAACTCAAAAGAACCAGCCTCTCCATACAGTACTCAGCAGGAAGGGTACCTATTTGGTTGCCGATGATTCCAATATCATTCGTGCCTGATGGCACTGAGCTCTCTGCTGACCTTGATGTTGTTGACATGTGGTCGTCTGTGTCGTACAAATCCTCGATTACGGTTTGATGTCTTTCAAGAAGAGCTTCATTCTTCATGTTATGGGTGGATGGCATCTGCGCAGTTAACGAACCATGCAACATTATTGGCAAGTGGCATACTCTTCCTAGTAGTTTCATTGAATTCTTATGTGATAGTCTACATTCTAAATGGATTTAAGAAGGTTACCTGGTAAAAGTTTACTGGAATATTTCTTCTTTTCGATTTATCAGGAGCAATAGTTAATAGAATTTGCACAACCTCGCTCATTGTTGGCCGAGTATCTGGGTCTAACAGTAGGCACTCCTTTGCTAGGTAAGCCATTACCTGCATCTCTTCTTCTGGAAAATTTCCTTTTAAACGCGAGTCGGGTAACTCCGAGCTTACTTGCTTACTATCTTGTAGACGAGAGGTAGCCTGAATGGCACAAAGTATAGACAAACAGATGATTTAGTTGCATTAAAAAAGAGGAGAAACAGTAACATGAAATGGCTACTTTACCCAGATAACAAGACTTTCTTCTCTATTGTTTGATTTATGGATGGGTTGCCGACCAGTGATCAGTTCCAGAAGAACTACACCGAAACTAAACACATCCGTCATAGGTGAGGCTTTCCCAAAAACTGAATATTCTGGGGCAAAATAACCAAAGGTTCCCTGCATTCTTGCTGGAGAACTCGAACAGCTGGGAAGTCCATCGGCTCTTAAACATTTGGCCATACCAAGATCAGTTATCTGAACATTTTCAATAATCAATATGTACATCAACTGGCGAGAAATGAACGTATGTTAGATGTCTAAAAGTAAATCATCCTCACTTTGGCTCTCCAGTTCTTATCCAGAAGAATATTTGTAGATTTTACATCTCTATGCAAAATTCTGGGAGCAGCTGCTTCGTGGAGATATTCCAAGCCCCTTGCAGCACCAATAGCAATCCTAACACGAGTTTCCCAGGACATGGTCTCCCCCGAAATTCCATCCAAACAATCCCTCAAATTACCATTAGGCATGTATTCGAATACCAGCAGTCTATCGGCATGTTTCCCACTGGATTCTGAACAGTAACCGAGCAAGGGCACCACGTGGCAGTGATGTAGCCTCGACAACAGCTCGACCTACACAAAGCAAAACTATAAAATAACTCATCGCGTTTTGAGAACAATGAGAGTTTTCATTAACCAAAAACCTTAAGACAAAATAAGCAAGTTGAGATTGTACCTCTGTTGAGAAGATGGAATCTGCATCAAGACCGCTACCTTGAATTTTAAGTCGCTTGACTGCAACAATTCTTCCATCCTTGAGCTGGCCTCGGTATACATAGCTACTTCCTCCAAGTCCTATTAGATTGGAATCAGAGAACTTATTGGTTGCATTTTCCAGTTCAGAGTACGAAAACTGGCAAATTGTTCCAAGCACAGTCCCCATTTTGTTCCAAAAAAGGAATGAAGCACTTTGAAAGCATCCTGAAAATAGACAACGTCATACATTACACGGACAAACTAAGTTCAGAATGAAGAAAGTAGTATGCAAGGTTAAACAACAAAATAAATCAAAATGGTCGAGCATTTGTAATTGAATCACAATTGAAAGCAAATGAAGTTTATCAAAGACGGGCAAATTATAACATGTTAAAGCTTCTATACCCTTAGTTTCTGACGCCGATGAAGTCTTGTGACTTATTAAGTTGGCAGCACTGTTGCAACTAGTTTCTTTATCTGACAAGAATACTTCCGGTCCAATGGGGCACTTTGGGCATTTGTCCTTTCGGTAGAAATAGCATGTTAACGAAGCAAGAAATGCCAACGTTGTGAGAATCACACAGAGTAAAAGAACAATCACAACAATTCTGTTAGCGTAGTTCTTTCTCACAGGCGTCTCAGGAAGGGATCCTGTCAAAATATAAAATTAAGTGCCACTGTATAAGCTCCTAATGGTTGATGGTATTTAAATATGATATGTATAGTTCACGATACATATATGTAACATCCTCAATACCGGGTTAGTGACTAAATTGAAAAACTTTAGAATTTATTGGCTAAAGTACATAAATTGAATAGTTCAGGGACTTATATTGAAAACTTTGTGTAGGACTAGATAGCAAAGGAGGAATAAAAGGGCAGAATGGTCAATTGGTAGAAAAGATAATTAATTTGAAAAGGATATATATTAACCACGTGGATTGAAGGAAGGAAAATATCAAACTCCAGAGAATTCTTCTTCTTCCTTCTTCCAGCCGTGAACCTCAAGCTTGTTAAGGTGAGTTTTATTGTAAGATGATTATTTGTGTAAATTAAGGGTGGTTTATGATCCTTAGATGATACTTAAGCTTAAGAAAGCTTAAGTTATCCTCAAATCAAGAGATGAAGGAGTTAGGAGAGATTAAAAATAAGGAGTCTTTAAATGAAATCTTAAAAAAGAGTTGATAAGTGGAATTTGAAACTAAATTTGACTTGTCAATAGTTGAATTAAAATATATGAAGTGATAGAATTGAAATTAGAACATGTTGAAAATTTGGTATGATTCTTGACTTCCACATAGAGAATAGAATTTTGAAGATAAAGATGTGTTAGATGAGTACAAATGAGTTTAAGTATGTGTACTTGAGTTAAAAGTAAGAGAGGGAATAAGAAATGAAGGATTTGAGTTGATAAGGGTAAATTTTCGGGTTTAAAAATGAAATCTGGGCTTTGAGTGTCGATACTGCTTCATCTAGTACCGATACTTCAAGAGGAAAACAACGATATTGGGTATAGGGGTATCGATACTAGTTGAACAACATCGATACCCTAATTTTGAATTTGACAAAGACATTCATGGGTATCGATATTGGGAAGGTAGTATCGATACCAAGGGTACCGATACCATAAGGATAGTATCGATACCATTTTTGAAATAAGAACTTCGAATGCAAAATGAGTATCGATACCCGGATTGGTATCGATACTACAACTAGGGAAGTATCGGTACCATACCTTGGGTACCGATACTACTTTAAATGGAAAATGAAATTAAACCTTTATTCTAGCTTAAGAAATTAAGGATTGAATCATGATAATTGGAATACTGATATGTATACAAAATGTATGATTGTGTAGATATCGAGCACAAGCAAGTTTCGGAACGAACACAGAGTTAAGATCGATCCAGAGAGAGAGAATCATAGAGGTGGAATTGGAAATTAAATTAGGCTAAGGTGAGTGCATACTGTAGGTATAATTCAATGGAAATAAGACTTGTGATAAGTCTATTTCCTATGTTAGTATTCATAAATCCAATAGTTATGAACATGCATACACGATGATCATTATAAATACATGCATAAGTTATATTTATATATGGGTATATGAT